TGTGATCGATAATTTCTTATTAATATCGTGTGATCGATAATCAAAAAGCATGTCATCGATAATTTGCTATTAAATTCATGTGATCGATAATGTTTCACTAAAAACGATCAATGATCAGTCATTGAATCTGCGAAATCAATAATTTGTCTTTGAATCCGTGTGATCGATGACCTGTGACTGAATCTGTACGATCAATAATCTTTTATTAATATCGTGTGATCGATGATCGAGAAACACGTCATCGATAACTTGTTATTAAATTCACGTGATCAATAGTTTTTAACTTAAACCTTGTGATCAGTCATTGAATATGCGTAGTCAATAATCTGTTATTAAACTTGTGTGATCGATGACCTGAGACTGAATCTTGCGATCAATAATTTTTTATTAATATCGTGTGATCGATGATCGAGAAACACATCATCAATAATGATCAAAAAAAGTCATCAATAACTTGTCATTAAATTCATGTGATCAATAATTTTTCATTAAAACTGTGTGGTCAGTGATCAGTCATTGAATCTGCGTAATCAATAATTTCTAATTTGTCATTAAATCTGTGTGATCGGTAACCTGTGACTGAATCTGTACAATCCATGTTCTGTGACTGAATCCGTGTGATCGATAATTTTTTATTAATATCGTGTGATCGATGATCAAAAAAAAAAGTCATCGATAACTTGTTAACAAATTCATGTGATCAATAACTTTTCACTAAAGCTGTGTGGTCAGTGATCAGTAATTGAATCTGCGTAATCAATAATTTGTTATTAAATCTGTGAGATCGATAACCTGTGACTGAATCTGCACGATCCACGTTCTGTGACTCAATCCTGTGATCAATAATTACTTATCAAATTCTCTGATCATTGATCTGTGTTTGAATCTGCGTAATCAATAATTTCTCCCTAAAACTGTGTAACTAATGACCTGTGATCAAATCCGTATAGTCAGCGATGTGTTATTAAACCTGTGTGGTCATCGATCAGTGATTAAATCTGTGTGATTATCAATAATTTGTTATGGAATCTGGGTGGCCGATAATCAGCGACTAAACCCGTGTGATCAATGACCTGTGACTGAATCCGTGTGATCAATAAATTTTTATTAAATATGTGTGGTCAGTGATCGGTAATCGAATCCATGTGATCCATGATCTGTGATCAAACCTGCGCAATCGATAATCTGTTATTAAATCTTTGCGGTCAACGATTTGTAGTTGAAGTGTATAATCAATAATTTGTTACTAAATCTTTGCGGTCAATGATTTGTGATTAAGACTGTGTAACTAATAGTTTGTTATTGAATCTGTGTGATCAATAATTGGTGGCTAAATCTGTGTGATCTGTGATCTCTGATTGAATCTGTGCAATCAATGATTTGTCATTGAATCTGAGTAATCAATGATTTGTGATTGAATCTCTGTGATCAATAATTTTTGGGCAATGACCTGTGACTGAATCCGTGTCATCAATAATCATTTATTAAATTGTGCGATCGATGACCTGTGACTGAATCTGCGTAATCAATAATTTCTCCTTAAAGCTGTGTAATCAATGATCTCTGACCCAATTCCTATAGTCATTGGTTTGTTATTAAATCCGTGTGATCGATGACTGTGATTGAGTCTGCGCGATCAATGATCTGTGACTGAATCCGCGCGATCAATAATTTTGATCAACGATCTGTGACTGAATCCGTGTGATCACTGATCGGTTATAAACAATAAATAACGATACAAGATAACGGGTCGTTAATTAAAGGATGAATAACGGGCAACCAATGACCCTGAGTGAACGATAAGCAAGTGATCAATATGAATAAATAACAACCGACAGTAAACAACAGTGGGTAACACGAAGACAGTAATAATAATAAGCGATGATTGATAACAATGAATAAAGTGAAAATAACAGTCAATAAGTTATGATAAATAACCACGAACAGTAAACGCTAATGAAGAACAAATGATGACGGGTAATGATCAATAGTGAATGATAAACAATAGTCAATAAGTGTAAACAACAACCATCCGACAACAGGAATCAATATGTGAAAATAAATCCATGATACATAACAAT